ACACACACATACACACACACATACACACACACACACACACACACACACACACACACACACACACACACACAGAGCTGCTATCCAGCCAGTATAACCGAGATCCCACCTGGTAAAACATAACATGTTATTATTATATTCACAGTCACAGTCCATCGATCGCTAGCTTTTGGCTAAAAGTTGCCCAAACCGAGAGTCTCTTCTTCTTCGACCGTGTGGTTTATTTACATCCAATTAGATGGCCCACTTCAGAGAACACAGTTACACGTTGATTCACGATGCCTCTATGTTATAATTTATAAATGGATATCTTAGAAAAAGAAGAAGCAAAACTTGAAACCTAAATTACTCGCCAGTTTCAGTAATAGGATTTTGGAAAGTTATAGTTTTCAAGAGTTCGCCATTTCCCTTCGGAAAAAGCTCTCCAGGGTTGGGCCACTTTACTCCAGTCACCATGTTCTCCCGTATAACATAATCACCCTGCACCAGTTACCATGTTCATCAACATTATAACATGTCTGTTTTCCATCCATTACAGTGCTCATAAGCATATTTAAAAGTTTTTGAATATATGCCCACATCAAAGGACGTTAACGACTCAATTGACGAAGAAGATAATATAGCTCTAAGCCACATTTCGATAGAACAGTGCTACAGATATTATAGAAGGAAACGACGAATAACACACAGGTAGGAGCTGATCGCGGAATGGAAACAAACAAATGTGAACAGCCATACCCTGCTGTACGGGGACAGCTCGACTCGACTTGTCGGAGTCGAAAGAACTCTCGTGAGAAGATTTGACCTCTAAAAAATCGAGGAAGAAGATGTTATTATCGAACTTTTCGACTCCAACCAAGTCGCTTTGGGTGCCTGTCCATTGGCCTGCCGACCACCAGTTTCCAACAAATCTGAGCAAAAAGAAATTTTGACAGTATACACATTATTATGCACATAATATATAGTATCAAAATCATAAGTTCATCAACAGAGGCATTCAATGGTGACAACTTTCAGCATCAACATTAATTTACAAAACCAAAAATGCACCAACTGGATCATCTATAAATTGAGGAATATTTTGAAGCACTCCGCATTCATTGCGATATTCAGTGGTCGCACCAAGCACAGCTTGCACACTCAGAAAAAAGGAGCAAACTGAGATGTAACACCAAGTCGGTTTGAGAAAAAACCCACACCTTCTTTTAGTTTTATCTAAAATTTTATCCTTTGTTGCTTACAACACAATCAAGTAGAGCACTTTCTAAAATACAATTAAAAAGATATTAAGTTGCTATGATACACTGAAATCACAGCGCTTCACATGGGGCGAACTCGGAGAAAAGAAGCAGAAAACAAATAGATTTACTTGTAATTTACTTTTATTTATCAGCACATGTTAATTTTAAATTGCCCAGAACCTTGTAACAAAGCCGTTCTTGTTTTTAAGACAGTAGCTCTGAACACGTCTCTTTCTGTAATCTATCTTTAGATTTAAAGGAATTGTTAATGTCTGAACATCCATGAAGTTTACTTTGAAACCAGTAAAGGAGGTTTTTATCCAGGAACTGAGCTAGTGATTGTCAGGTGCTGCAAATAAATGCTTTTGAAAAAAACATCACCCTTTTGTTGTTTCTCCTTGACTTATTGACCCTTAGCATGTCGAAGTGCTCTCATAAACAAAACATTCTCAAACTAACCAATCTCTAAGCATTAACAAACAAAAACCACACACACACACACACACACACACACACACACACA